GAACAGTGTAATATGAACACAAGTGCATATTATGATATCAATTAAATGAAAAAAAGCGAGCATGATATAGTTCATTTACATAACTTTCTTGGGAGACTTCTTTCATAATTTTTTTCTTTATTCAAAATATCAAAAAGAAATCTTAGTACCATTTTGAAACAACTTTACTGACAAATGTATATTCATTCATATATTTTTCCCCCTTTGTTGCAGAAAACTGAATACATTTCCCACAAACATGGCATGTACGTCCATGCCATGCCCACTGTGAGTTTACTTTATTAATTGTTTTTACACATAGATGGCTACACTTGTAATGAGTCACCAGTGAGCCAATTACAAGTACTGCCTGTCTCGCCTGTTTACCCTTTTCATTGATTTTTGAAAATATTTTACGTTATCTCATACTGCTATTACTAATGTCTATAACATTATAGTAATTATAATGTCTATAATAAAAATAACACCATCGATATTCATAGTATTCGTAGAAAAAAACATTTTTCCCACCAATTCAAGGAAAGGCGAAATCAGGTAAGATCACAAGGTCTACTAATTGACTCCCTTGTGACTAAGTGCTAGCAGAGCCATCTATGTGCTGAGACATTTCACAAAAAAGTTAAAAAGGGGCACAGCATTTTCCTGGCAGCATTGAGTTAATTAAGACAATGCAAAGTTGAAAGGAAGATATGAAAAAGAAAAATGAAGCAGCTAATATTCAATCAATTCATGTAAAATGAAAAGTATGAAGCTTGAATCCCATATAATAAAATATTCTCATACTTAGGTCACTCTACATGGTGCAACTAGGGGGGGGGGGGAATTTTTCACCACCCCCACAAAGGAGGCCCCAAATAACACCTATATATATTCCTAAACAAAATAGATAACCTTATAATGATTACATACCCTACTAGTCATCCTGTTTTTTTTAATCTTTAGTGAAAAAAAAGCTTTCCTTTTCAGTTTATGAATATGAAGAGAAATTAAAGTAAATAAGAGTGAGCTATCTTTTACCTGCATTTCTTCATTTGAGTAATTTCCCTCAGCAATGTGTCGTTGCAGAATGGCCAACAGTTGTATTAGAAAAGACTGGTCCACAATAGTTAATCTTGAAGTCACTTTCCACCATGACAGAATGATTGACTGTGGAGTGATATTGAGCATTGTGCCATACTGCTTTAATATCGAAAGACTGGCATTACTTAGTGTACCGGGCCAAGGGCTGACGGAAGGCCACAGGACCTGCAAATCATTGGTACAGATGAACTAGGCTGAAAATCAAAATTATCCTAAAAGAATTAAGGTTTGTAAAATGATATACAAAAAGATAAGCCTAGAATTTCTAATTGTAGTTTTTGTCATCTTGACAAAATCATGTAAAAATTCTTTTTTGAAGTTTGTCCTGACTTGTCCTACATTTTCTATCCTGATTTCTAAAATCAGCATAAATATATTCCCAACTTTGTAACTATCATCAAGTTTGTCTTCTTTTCAAGTTGAAGTTAGAGGTTAGTAAGTCATTGCTTCCTGTAAACTGATTCAGATTCTAAAACTTCTGTTTTAATCTGTGGCCAAGATGTTTTAAGAATTTCAGGAACATCAAAAGTATATGCAAATCCAAAACAAGTTCTTTCACTAACAGAATTTCATGATCACAGATTTTCATTCCATTTTCAAAAGTTCATTTACACACATACTTTTACTTTACCTCATTCTCTACACTGCTTCCCGATCCACTACTTTCACTGCTGCTTGAGCTCATTGTGCTGTTACTCTTGGAGCTTCTGTTGCTACAGCGGATACCTTTCCTCCGCCTGCTGTGACGAATACTTGTCCTGCCAAAGCCATCCAGGCTATCGAGGAATCCAAGGTGCTGGTACATGAGTTTGTGTAGGAGAGCATCATACCAGTGAGGTCCAAGGTGGTCTAACTGCGGAAATATATTATCTGTGCATTAACAGAATCATGTGACGCTTTATCATATATCAAACATACCATTTAGCACACCTTTCTTGTATTTCCTGCCATGAAACTTGCATCAGGAATATTAGGCAATGAACATTATGTCAAATTAAAATTACAACATTCAGTTTTTTTTCCTTCATTCTAAATAAATGTTTTATACACACTTAATACCATATTTACAACTTCAAAGTTCAGAATTAATCACAGGACAAAATTTGTAACACACAATATAAAAGGCATAATAAATGTACTGTAGGACATCTATTATGCATATGTAGTCCAATATGACAAATTCTCCATACAGGTTGTCACTGCTTCCAATGGGACAGAGTGAATTCAGAACCCTTAGTGTCAGATATAATTAATTAGTTTAGTCTCCCTCTTTCATACAAAACTAACTGGAAGCTGACTGATAGAGGTAATCATATTCAGGCAGCTGTTGGATAAAATACACATGTGGACCTTCGTGATACTTTCCTATTTTCTTGATGTTTCAGGAGCATGATGAAAAAAAAAATCATGAACACTAAAGGTAAAATAATTATAAAAAAAAAAACAAACACACATTATGACTTCGTCACATGAATGCAAAATTGCCTAGATTGTGGTATTTGTACAAAACATTTTAAGTGGGACTTTAGTTAGTAAGGTAAATAATGGAACGATAATTTGGGACTCTAATCAAGTCAATAAATTATAAGTTTAAAATCTAAAGTATATATTGTGTTCTATGTCCAAGAGAAAGTATGTGGTCTACAAAGGGATAAAACAGCATTCAGTTTGTCTAGGATAAAATTAACTAACTTACAGGATAATTTCATATACAAAAAAAGTTTGTAATGCTTTCTTGTTCAACATTCATTTTACATTCATTTCACGAATACTGCCGGACTTACAATAATTACACGACAGTTCATTTCATCCACAATTCAAAGACTGCCATCTCTTTTATCTTACTTGTGCCACCGCTGATACTCTGAGACCAATACGAAGACTCCCCCTTTTCTTGGTCGACCTAAAACTCTCTCTCGCGGCACTTTGATTTAGTTCCTCTTCCTTGTTCTTGACTATATTGTGCCAGCTTTCAGTAACCTGGTCTTTAACATCCTAGAAGAGATAAATGATACAATTAAAGACAATCAAACCAACATCAATATTTGGAAGTATACATTTAGAAGAATTTGTATATAATAAACATCACTCATAGCTTACCATTATAAGCAACTAAAAATGCAGATATACCATTATTACCAATTACCTCGAGGGACACCACCACAGTGCCAAATAGGTTTTTGGCCCTCTTCATCCGCATATTAGCAGCAATATCTTGTGCTCTGCATTTTATCTCCTTGAAGTCAGGTACACCATTTCGCATTTCTGCACTGGTTTCCTGGGGTTCGTGTCTGAAGGAAATTACAGAGGACAGAATAAGGAAAAAATAAAACCCATTAGGAAAGAAGTGCAGATTAATGTTCAGTAAATTAATATACATACAAACATACAATGGTATATATACAAACATTTATACATACATACATATAGCTATATACATACGTAAATGTATATGCATACATACATACATACATACATACATACATATATATATATATATATATATATATATATATATATATATATATATATATATATATATATAGAAAGAGACAGAGACAGAGACAGAGACAGAGACAGAGACAGAGACAGAGACAGAGACAGAGACAGAGACAGAGACAGAGACAGAGACAGAGACAGAGACAGAGACAGAGAGACAGAGACAGAGACTGAGAAAAAGAGAGAAACAGACAGAGAGAGGGGGGTGGGGAGAGAGAGAGAGGGGGGTGGGGAGAGAGAGAGAGAGAGAGAGAGAGAGAGAGAGAGAGAGAGAGAGAGAGAGAGAGAGAGAGAGAGAGAGAGAGAGAGAGAGAGAGAGAGAGAGAGAGAGACACTAGACAGTAGTCTAAAAGAAGCTGTTTTCAATTAGTATTCGAACCAAAATTGTGCATTTAAACAGTACCTTATTTCCACAGTCAGCTTTGCTTCATTTAGAGATGGAATATCCCTGAGAAGTGAAAAAAGAAAACATACTTAGAGTAATGTATTAGAGAAACAAGTGGCTTTTCAAGATCCCAATTTCTTTATCAGTAAAGAATATCTTTTGACCACTCAGTACAGGTTGGGTCAGGATGGGTTGGGCAGATTATGTAAAGCTAGGATAAGTTAGGGTAAGTCAGGGTTAGGGTAGATTACCTAACAAGCCAAGTTCCTGTGCAATACAAAACTAATAATGAACTTAAATTACACAGTGCTTATCTATAATATGCTTACCAATATTTCCTGCCATAATTTCCTCACTGATAAAAATGGTATATATGAGCCTTTAAAATCACCTAATCCTTTTAGGCTTTTAACAACTTCATCTAAATTTACCCTCAGTTCTTTAAAAAAAAATCTAATTTCAACCATAAACCACCTATTTCCAAACAACAGAGCATGCCCTATAACAAAAAAAAAAAAAAAGACTCACACTTCAAAATGGGAATTCCACACCGGATTCACTGTGCCGGTGATCGCTCGCGTCTTGAACACCTCGCTGCTTCCCGTCGCACTCACGAGGCAGTAGGGATGGCTGTTCTCTGCAAGGAAGGAAAATGTACCTCTTCTGAGAACATGAGGAGAGAGGGAGGGAAGGAGAAAGGGAGGGGAGGAAGGAGGGAGGGAGGGAGGGAGGGAGGGAGGGAGGGAGGGAGAGAGAGAGAGAGAGAGAGAGAGAGAGAGAGAGAGAGAGAGAGAGAGAGAGAGAGAGAGAGAGAGAGAGAGAGAGAGAATGAGAGAGAAAGGGAGAAAGGGAGAGAGGGGAAGAGGGAAAGAGGGAGAGAAGGAGGGAAGGAGAAAGGGAGGGGAGGAAGGAGAGAGAGAGAAAGGGAGAGAGAGAGAAACTATGAGAGAATGAAAGAGAGAGAAAGGGAGAGAGGGGAAGAGGGAAAGAGGGAAAGAGGGAGAGAGGGAGAGAGGGAGAAAGTGACAGAAACAGAATAGATAGAAATAAAATCTCTCTGCATGAATGTATGTAATTATGAATGTTCATATTTCTGTATGTTTGTAATTATGTATGTGCCTGTGTCTGTGCCTATTCCTGTGCCTGTGTCAATGACTATACTTGTGTCTGTGCCTGTGTCTGTGTCTGTACCTGTGCCTGTGCCTGTAACAATGACGGTGCCTCTGTCAATGACTGTACCTGTGTCTTTGCCTATGCCTGTGCCTGTGTCTGTACCAGTGTCTTACCTGTACCTGTGCCTGTGCTTCTGTCAATGATTATTCCTATGTCTTTGCTTGTGCCTGTACCTGTGCCTGTGTCTGTGTCAATCACTGTGCCTATGTCTTTGTCTTCGCCTGTGCCTGTTCCTGTGCCTGTTCCTGTTCCTGTACATGTGCCAGTACCTATACCTTGTGTCAATGACTATGCCTATGTCTTTGCTTGTGCCTGTACCTGTGCCTGTGTCAATCACTGTGCCTATGTCTTTGTCTTTGTCTTTGCCTGTGCCTGTGCCTGTTCCTGTGCCTGTGCTTTTATCTGTGCCTGTGTCAATCACTGAGCCTATGTCTTTGCCTGTTCCTGTGCCTGTGCCAATGACTATGCCTATATCTTCGTCTGTACCTGTGTCTGTGTCTTTACCTGGCCCTGTAACTGTGCCAATGCCTGTGTCAATGCCTGTGCCTGTGTCTATGCCTGTGTCAATGCCTGTGATTGTCCTTGGACCTGTGTATGTTTGAGTGTGCTTGTGTATGCTTGTTATTGTGTTTGTGTATTTTTTGTGTGCTTTTATGTGTGTTTGTATGTTTGTGTGCCTGTACCTGTGTGTGCTTGAGCCTGGGAGTGTTTGTGTGTTTGTTTGTTTGGGGGCGTTTTTGTTTGTTTTTTGTTTTGTTTTGTTTTGTTCTGTTCTGTTTTGTGTATGTGTGGGTGTGTGTGTGGGGGTGCGTGTGTGCCCGCGCGCGTGCGTGTATGTGTGTCTATACGTATGCAACTGCGTTTGTTCATCCGTTATTAACAGATAGATCAAATTTCACCTTCGAAGCGATGTAAACCTCTGAAACCTCAAACAGGCAAAAATAAAGAAATAAATGATAATAGATAAAAAAAAATAAAATCTGCGTTGTATCCTTCATCAAATAATCAAATCACATTTCCAACGCAGACGTGCAGATTCCAGGTTCCTCTTGACCACGAATCAATATCTTTTGCGTCGGAATTTAATGCGTAATGACAAAACAACTTTTACATTCGTATTCGCATAGCCTGTTGCTAATGAATCAAGAATGAGTAAAGGAATCAAATAATTATTAAAAGTTTGAGGGGAAATAAAACAGAATCGTAATAGGTGTCTGACATGTACGTTTCAGGTCAGTCACCTCTGAGAGTACGAATGGAAGGTAGCAATTCTGTTTGCTGGGACACACACGCAACACTCGGTCTCTCATTCTCCCTCATTCCTTTTTCCCACCCCCTTTCTCTCTCTCTCTCTCTCTCTCTCTCTCTCTCTCTCTCTCTCTCTCTCTCTCTCTCTCTCTCTCTCTCTCTCTCTCTCTCTCTCTCTTCCTCTACTTCTACCTCTACCATTTTCACTCACCTCTCACTCTCCTTTCCACCTTCTTCTTCTTCTCCATCTCCTTCTTCTCCCTTTCCTTTTTCTCCCTCTCCTCTTCTCCCTCTCCCCCTCTTCCTTTTCCTCTTTATCATCCTCGCCCTCTTCATCGTCCTCTCCCTCTTCCTCTTTCTGTTCCCTCTCACTCTTCTTTCCTCCTTCTCATTCTTCTCTCTCCCTCCCCCCTCCCCCCTCTCCTCCTCTCTCCTCTCCTCCCCATCCCCTCTCCTCCCCTCCCTTTCCTCCCCTTCCCTCCCCTATCCTCCTCCTCCCTTCTCCTACCCCACTTCCCCTTCCCTCTCCTCCCCCTCCCTCATCCTCTCTCCTCTCCTCCCTTCCCATGCCTTCTTCTTCTTCTTCTTCTTCTTCTTCTTCTTCTTCTTCTTCTTCTTCTCTTCTTCTTCTTCTTCTTCTTCTTCTTCTTCTCCTCCTCCTTCTCCTCCTCCTCCCCCTCCACTCCCTCTCCGCCCCACTCCCCTTCCCTCTCCTCCTCCCCCTCCCATTCCTCTCCTCCTCCCCTCCCCATTCCCTCTCCTCCTCCCCCTCCCCATTCCCTCTCCTCCTCCCCCTCCCCATTCCTCTCCTCCTCCCCCTCCACTCCCCTCTCTTCCGCCCCACTCCCCTTCCTCCTCCTCCCTCCATTCCCTTCCTCCTCCTCTCCCCATTCCCTCTCCCTCACCCTCCCTTCCCTCTCATCCCACCCTTCCCTCTCCTCCTCCCCTCCCCTTCCCTCTCCTCCTCCCCTCCCCTTCCTCTCCTCCCCCTCCCTCTCCTCCCTCCCCCTCCCCTTCCCTCTCCTCCTCCCCCTCCCCTTCCCTCCCATCCCATACCCTCTCCTCCTCTCTCCTCTCCCCTCCCTTTCTCTCTCTCTCTCTCCGTTCCTCTTACC